CTCCCTTCCTCCCTCCAAAACTAGGACATCTAAATTTAACCTGCTATCAGCAGATGAGGCTGGAGAGTTTCCACAGTGGAAAGGAATCCCGCGCAGAACCTGTCCTCTGCTCCGGCTCCATCCATGCACATTCCTTTCCTCGAGCCGTGACCTCCCGTGTGTTTCATTCCTCCTCTTCTCCTCTGGCACTTGGGTTCGTGTCACTGCTAAGGGCTGGTGGAGCTTCCCAAACTCTGTGGCTGTTTGTATTCTAGGTGGGCACGCACCTCAGTGGTTCTTGGATGGTGGTACCAGGGCTCCCCGCTGCCCGGCACCAGCGTGCCAAAGGCTCTCGAGCTGCAAAGGTTGGCTATGACCTTTAAGGGGCCAAACGGGCTTGTAACAGCTCTTGTTTGCTCCAGGCAGGACCCCAGGAGGTGTGGGTGCGAGGTGCACCATGTTGGGGGTGCCCAGGTAAGGGTCAAGCTTGGCCAGGCACCCTCCTGCTCTCCGAAAATAATTTTGAGTTTCCTTTACTGGAAAGCAAACAAAACCTAAACGTGAAAAATTTTTTAGGGGATGAATAATAATACAGCGTGGTATCTGAACAGCAGTCGTGTACTGTGGCAGCTTTCAACCTCTCGCTTGCCCAGCTCTGAAAGGGGAGGGCTGGTCGCTGCTGCCTCTCTCCAGATGCAATATTCGCAGCTTGCATCTGACCAGGCTTTTGCTAAATAAGCAAACGGCGTCAGGAAACCCAACGGTGCGGAAGCTGAGCTGCTGCCCGCGCCAGCCGGCTGGGCTCTGCCCTGCCGTCACAAGATGCACAGCAGCCTGGCGAGGAAAAATGCAGGATGTCGGCTGGTATTTTTAACCAGAAACCTCCGCGCTCTGTCTGATGCAGCGTACGAGCTGAAAGGGAGAGAAGAGGCGCTCACGGTACATAGGGTGTTTATCGCTGCCTCGAAACGTGAGTGCAGAGGTGGGGGGGCCGTTCGTTTATAGACAGCCACCGCCCAAATGACTCCAGGCAGGTGCGTTTGAAAACTTCACTTTATTTCTCTGTCTGTTATAAAAGCAGGGTTTTGTTTTTTTACATCTCTGTAAGTGTCCAGACTCGGTACATCTTGGCTTTGTTTCACAGTATCTCTGCAAGACCACGGAGGCTTCTTATTGCTGCGCCAGGAGCCAGGGCAGGAGGGACGGCGGTGCCGAGGCTCGGGCAGCCTTCGCCTCATCCCCTGCTGCTGGACCCAGCCTTGCTCCCCGCTGCACCGGCTCAGCAGGTCTACCCCTCCCCAACGCTGCTTCCTATCTTTATCGACTCTCCGAGGAGCTGCCCCTCTCTCGCCATGCTCCTTGGTGTCAGACCAAAAGGCCCGTGATGCTGCTCGGCTCCTTGGCCATGCCCCACAGGGTCTGCCGGCCCCTGGCCCGCTGCTGGCAGGAGGTGAGGGGGCAGGGGAGGGGCTGGGCCAGGGCTGGCCCTCCTGCTTCCCCCCCAGGGCCACTTTGGGATTTGGACAGGGATGCTCAGGCTACGCTCTCAGCTCCTGCGGTGGTTTAGGGCCATAAGGAGCTGAGCATCGTTGATGAGAGAGGTGAGGCACAGACAAGCTCAGGTGCGTCAGTGTCTCATGCTGGTGCCCCACCACCTTCCCAGCGCATCCTTTGTGCATTCCTGGTTCTGCAAAAAGCTGCCAGAGACGGAGCTGTGTTTGCCTCGGCTTATTCACCGCCTTACTCTGTGCAGGGTGCCCCGGTCCCCAGACATTTCAGTCCCTGTTGGGACCCTGTCAATCCCCGTTCTAACCACGCGGCCATTAACCAGCCGTATCAATAGCGATGTCTATAGCACCTGTCACCTCCAGCCACCGTTCCTTTTCCGTTCAATCCGTCCCCGTCAGTTTTATAATGAAGCAGCATTGAAAAAACATCACTTTTAATCACAATGCATGAAATCTCGAAAGAGGCAGCATTGCTTTTCTATGCCGTGTCTGGTGATGCGAATGGAGGTGGAGGGGCACCTAGGCACGGGACAAAGGCATTCTTTGGGAAGGGAGGAGTCCATGCAAAGCCAACCCCAATGTGAAATTTGAATTTCGTGTTTACTGCTCAGCTGGGTCTGTTCAGTGCAACAAGACGGATTAGCCAGGAGGTTACTATCACGTTGCATGGATGCATCCAGGTCACCAGGTAAGAGGGAGCAGGAGGAACCAGATTTACTTAATGCACTGGGAGATGAAGTCCAACACAGAGCTAAGTGGAAAAGGACGTAGGTGTTCCCTGAATGTGGTTTTTGGTGACTGAGAAGAAATCTTTCCTTGGAATTCCTTCGTGCAGCTAATTAAGACAACTGGGTCTGATGTCTTCGACCCATGCTGACATCAGTGAGAACTGTAAGTACTCAGCACCTGGAGACAAAGTGAATACCAGACAAAAATGCCCCTTCTGCTCCCACCCACGGGACTGCCCAGAAGTGCATCTCAACGGGAGCCAAGATACATGCGAGCGTTGTCAGCTATTCACTCACAGCTCACTTTTTGTCCTCTTCTGCATGTATTGCCTAGGAAAAAATACAGACGAGTCCCAAAGGGCTGTGCCAGTAGAGCTGTAGTTAGGATCTGAATCCACGTTCGAAAATGGAATTTAATACAGAGAGTGACTGTGCAAGTCAAAGTCTCCCTAGCTTCATCCTTTGTAGTCCCAAAGCCTAGATTTAGGCAACCTTTGGCTCATGGATTTGGGTTTGATCCAGTCCATTCGTCTGCAAGCTTCTTGTAATGCTGGACTTCCTACCTCAAAGATCCGCCCGTTGGAGAGAGCAGCTCTGTGGCTGAGCATCTCTGAAAAGCGATGCATGGAGGAGGGCGGGCTCCCCTGGAAATGGGGGTACGGTTGCAGGGCCCTGGGATCCTCGTTTGCTGGTTTGAAACCATCATTGCGGGGGTGGGGGCATATCTTCTGCGTGTGCGCTCCCCAGACAGGTGATGATGTCGAACCTGTTGCCAAAGTAGAGAGTGTGGCTTTGGAGAAGTGAGGAAGGAGAATTTCTTGCTGGTAACATCCTGTGTGGAAGATGAAGATGGCAATAGCAGCTAATTGGTGCCTCTCCAAGGGGAGAGCCTCTTGAGCAGCGTGTGTGTGGTGGTGAGACCTGTTCAGACCAGCTCAGCAGGGCCAGGCTTGTATCCGGCACGCTGAGCTCTCTTCAGTCCTAGCTCTTCAGGCAGATTGCTAATAATAGGAAGAGATGTTATCTAGGGGAAGGAGCCGCAGAGGGAAGGGGAAGTGATCTGCCTCAGGCCACGTGCTGGAGGAAGAGAACAGACCCTCTGCTCCCCGTCCTGTGCCCCGTCCCCCAGATGCCACCTCCCCTGCAGAACTTCCTCTGCCTGCAAACTGTGCCTTCCTCCCCCTTCCAGCGGCTTCTCTGTGCTGCCTTCCTCTGCAGAAGTGCATCTGGTTAGCTCTGAAGCCATCTGGTTCTTATTAAAACCTGCAGTTTCCACCTCCTGCTCCAAATGCACCTTGCTTACTGGCAGATCTACGCCCAAGACTCAGGTGTTGCCCTGCTTGCACCTTCTCGTGCGTTACCCTTTGCTACGTCGATGTTTGTGCCATAACCAGACAGGTACAGTACCATGGTCCTGTCTGGGCCCCATTCCTGACAGCTGCGTAGATCGTGAGGTCTTTTGGAAGAAAATTATCTGCCAACCCAAATGTAATTTGTTAGCATAGAAAAAGAGTTTCTCATAGCTTTTGCTTCTAGTATTTGCTAGGAATGTGTGTCTGTTATTTTCAGATGTGGCTGTTCCTGAATTATGGATATTGCTGGGTAGACTTGGTAGATAAGATCTGCCCTCGCTTACACCCATGCATCTCCAGTGACTTCAGAAGGATCCTTTTTATATCCTGCTCTTCTTACAGCACCGTCATCTGGATTTCAAGGGAAAACAGGGCAACAGAGCTTCACCCAACCACAGCCAGTGCATGAGCCGTTGGCTCTTACGCTATGAGAAGGTGAGACCGTGGGCTAGCTGGGCAAACATCTGCATGTCCTAAAGACAAACCCAGTGGGACATCCCCCCTCTCGATTTGTGTTGACTCCCAGGGCCACAATTCTAGCTGTGAGATTATCCCATATTGTAATGCTAGCGGGAGACTGCGATCACCAAGTGTAAGCAGTGCAAAGCTTGCTTGCTACCCCTTCTGCGAAGCAGGGAGATGGCCTAGTAGCTCCCACTCAAGAGACATCCTACAGCAGGTTTGTTATTTGCATTGCTTTGAAACTGAGATTATTTCCGTGCTTCCTTGTTCCAGGTTTTAAAATCAGGAAGATTTTATCACACTTCTTCCAATTTCATGCCCTTTTCATCCATCAGCCCATGACACATTGACAATCTATTCCTTGTTCCAAAACTTTCTCCAAACAATTCTGTAGAAAGGACATTCTGCCTGGTGGTGTTTTTGTTGTTTTTCAAATATAGCTTTAAGGCAAAAGTTTGGCAATGCAAAGCAAAGTCTACATAAGGCCGCATGACTTGGATTTGCAACTCAGAACCTTACAGCTTAAAAAAAAGAAAATCCTTATCTTAAATAGTCAACTTTTTGCTCCAGGAACTTGTTTCATTCTCAACCAAAAAGAAAAAAAAAAAATCTTAAAATCCCAAATAAAATGTTCTTATTGTTCTGGGCAGTCTGGACAAGCTAATGAGACTGAAGTTCAAACAGTAACTAAAGTAGGGAAGAGAAAAAAAAAAGCTATACGAGTAGACATCAGTGTTAGTTTCTTCCCTTAGGAATCCAGTGATGAGACAGACCCCAGTCAAAGGTCTCCTCTTTAGCTTTAGCACAGTGAAATCCGTCCCAATGGGAGAAGGTAGAATGGTTGCATTTGTTGAATGAATAAAAAGTGCATTTTGATTTTGCTCAGATTATACGTATGTATTCTAATACCTAAGTGATTGTTTCGCTTTGTTTTTTTTCCTCCCTTTTGGTGCCGGGATGCCAGGTTTATATTATCGATGTTTCGGAGGTATCACCACAAGTGGTGGTCCATCCTTTGGCCTCCACATGAGTACCTGAGCATCATTGGCATTGGGTTTGACAAGGGCACTGGGTGGTATTGGCTCATTCTTGCTAAGGACCTGGGGCTGCTCTTGAGCAGAGGGCTCCTGCAGCTTGGCACGGTGCCCCAAGGGTCTGCTGGGATTCACCTCGATGCCCAGCCTCATGCGCCATTTGATAGTCTGCAAGGTCACCATTTCGTTGGTAGCTGTGTTGGTTGCAACCAGCCAGGTGGTGAAGCTTTGATCCCGGTGAATGCTCGTGAGTTTGGCCACGTTGCTGTCGCTGACGGGCACTGCCCACGTCACGCTCGGGTAGAAGTTGTCGTTCATGCTGATGTTGAACCTGGACTCCTTCTTTGTGGGACCCACGATGGTGCAGGTTTCTGTCGTGTTTCCATACCAGGGATAGTTCACTCCATCTGAGTCACTGATGGCCTGGATTTTACCGTCCAGTAGATCCGGAAGCTCCCAACTTGACCTGCCATAATCAACAACAAGTTATGGATAATGCATTAATTAGTTATAAACATGCTGGACTTCAAGGAAGGAGTTGTGAATGCATTCCCCCGTCAGCTTTTACATTAATTTGTGCCTTTCACGCCATCCTGCAGAAAAAGGTCAACCCTACCATTAAAACTGTGTCTGCAAATTTCCAGGACTGATCATGAAAGTCTCTCCTGCTGCTAAACAACACGGAGGAACCATCACCCGGCAGGGCCAGGGCTTTCCTTGCAGGGACCGGTGGCTACCTGGAGTGGTTCCAGATGTGCTGGTGTTTATGTAAGCCTGCAAAAGGTAGGTGCTCAGGAAAGCTCCAGCGCTGGAGCAAAGCCAGTGCTGCAGGTATCTTCTTGCAGCTCCTTGGCTGTCTGAACACGGCTGATCCCAAGGACTCGCTCCAGTGCTGCGTTCAGGATCTCAGCTCTTGCGCTGGTGAGAGGAGGGCTTGGGGCTGAGGTTCTTTCTCTCAATGGCACAAAATCTCCCAAGTCAGCAGAAGAACGGGTAAGCTCAGAGCTGGCCCTGGGGGCAAGGTGACAGGAGACCTAAGCGGTGGAAGTAAAATCAAGGACTCAGCCGGACCGTAAAGCTTCCCATTGTCCCACTCTGTTCTTTCTTTTCAGTCCCTACCTGCAAACACCGGTGTTCTCACTGGATAACCACCGTCCCTCCCTGCTGTCTGCCTGGCGCTGGAAGCGTAACCCATCCCTCTCCAGCCCCGGGGAGGACCCCGTACCCCGCTCAAAGGCTGCGCACCGGGCTGCGGGCTGGGGATGGTGTTACAGTAATCAGAGAAACCGAGGTCAGCCAGCTTGTAAAACTGCCTGAGCCGGTCGTCTGTGTGCTGCGCTTGCGAGGCTGATGGAAAGGTCAGGCTTTCTAGCAAGAAAGTAAGTGAAAATGGTCCTCTGCCACCTTGTAGTGCTGGTGCACAAGCTGGATGTTTTTATTAACTTCCAATTTAATTTTTAGGATTAGATTTGCCAATAGAAGCAAACTACTGTAAACGTCTCGGATAGAAAAGGGTTAGATATTTGCAGAGTAAAGGTACCAAGATGGCATAACCATAAACCACATGCTCAGCGCGTGCAGGGTATTTTAAGGACATTCTTTTAAAAAACGGGCTGGCAGAGGTGGCTCTGATTTACCTTCTCCCTCTCGCTTACAAATCAGCCCTCCCCACCACCCAGAGCCGATGTCCTCGCTGTTCAAGCAGCAGAAGGGGCTATGTGGCGGCAGCAGCAGCTCGCTCCCAGCCGGGGGACCTGGGGACC